GCACTCACTTGCTATCCTGGTGATAGGGATACTGAGACGGGAGAATCCTAGAGGTCTGGCCAGCCAGTCTAGCCCAATTGGCAAGTTCCAAGCCAGTGAGAGCCCTCCACAAAGAAAAAGACCAAGCACAGCTACTCAAGGTGGTCCCAGACCTCCACCTGTGCACACATGCACACACACACACACACACACACACACACACACACACACTCACTCACTCACTCACTCACTTACTCACGCTTAAGTGTAGACTTCAGATTGACAAAGTTTTATGGACACACTAGTGTGCCCAAGATTCATCTGTCTTCTGTCTCCTGACTTGGCAGCTGTCACCTTCTCTGGCAGGCTGTCTGGGGGATCTCCATTCAGCTCTGTTTCAACAAAGCACTGTGGCAGTGAGAGTCCAGGAAGCCACTGATTGTCTGGTAGGAGAGGATGTTATTCTAGGCGTGGAGACTAATCAGACCTTCAGCAGCTCTCTCATTAGAGAAAAGACGCTCTGTCAATTTTTCCAAAGATAGTGTTTATTTAAAACTTAATGTGCCTATAAATGACCCAGAAATCATTTTACAAATGCAGTTTAGGATTCCCTAGGTCTGGGAAGGGGATAAAATTCCTTATCTCTAAGATGTTCTCAATGGATGCTGATAATACTGATTCCCAGACAGCACAGTGAGTAACAAGTTCCCATCTTACCAGAATTCAGGCAAACCAGACTGTAGGATTGAACCTTGGATTCCTCCAGCATAACTCACCAACTCAGCAAAGCAAAGCTGATTTAGTGATTCTTTAAGAATTGGGGGTTGCCCAAATCGTCTAGTTGCAAGTTAAACCAAGGCAAAAGCTAGTGTTTTATATTATTGCCAAGGTGCTAATGATTTTTAGTGATATGAAGCCATTTCCGAGGATCTCATTTAAAACACTTGATTTACTGGCTGAGGTGAGTCTGGACATTGGGACTTGTGAGATAATCGTGACATCTCTCACATGCCTATGAACCTCATTCCAGTACAGCATGTTTTCCTTCATTGAGCTTGTCAATAAGAATGGACAGCAGGGATAACAGAGATGCTAACCAGGAATGAGCACAATGGAGGACTGCTCCACTCAGAATGAAGTCTAAAACTAGAAATGTCACTATATTTGGACCCTGGCCTCTCTCATAAGTTAATTTTTTAAACATTTCATGAAAATTTTTGTATTAAATTCTCTATGTATATGCCTTTTATTCTTCTTTGAAATGATCTGGAAAAGAAGGTAATAAGAGTGCATTCTTGCTACCATGCAAAACATATGCAGGAATCTCACAAATAAAATACTGAGTGAAACAAGAAAAAAAAAGAATTGGGGATTGAAATACCCATATAAAAACTATGAATGTAGCTGGTGATGCAGGCCTGTAATCTTAGCTACTCAAGAGGCAGAGGCAGGAGGATGGCAAGTGAGGTAAACCAAGGATGTTCAAGGCCAGGCTAGGCAAATTAGTGAGACCTTGCCTCAAAACAGAAAGTACAAAGAGGGATGGAGATACAACTTGTAGATAGAGCCCTTGTTTAGTTTGTACATCTTAGTTCAATCCCCAACAGTGGGAAAAAAAATGAAAGAAACTCTACTAGTATGTGCTTAGAAATGTCATACAAAAACTAAGAGGAAATACATCAAATGTTGATTTTTTTCTCTATTACTTTTCTTAGTTCTGCTTTCTATTTTTTCTAAAATAAACATCATTTAAGAGTGTGATATAAAATTAGAGTAGCTCCTAAAATATATTCTTTAACAAATTATTCTAGGCTGGCCATTGTGGCATGAACTTTTAATCCCAGCACTCAGGAGGCAGAGGCAAGTGAATCTCTGAGTTCAAGGCCAGCCTGGCCTGTGTAGTGAGTTCCAGGACAGCCGGGGCTATACAGAGAGGCCCTGTCTCAAAAAATAAACAAACAAAAATTATAATCTTGTGTAATATACACTGAATACTGGATTAAAAGGTTCTGAGTTTTTCATAAATATATATACAGGTTCTCCTGGCCTGTTTTCTCTGCCTTCCCACTGGGAGGTGTCACAGTGTCGGCTCTGGGCACTGCAGAAAGTCAAGTTTTAATGACTCCAGTTGTTTTCTAAAGTAAAAAAACTGCTTGTTAGTTTCTAATTTTGCCATCTCAATGATGAAAACATAGTAGTAGCATTCTTCATTAATGATAAGTACCTGCCACTCTGAAAGAGTCCATTACAAACTTCCTCATCAAGAAGACCAGAGTATCCCAGAAGCATTTGGTAAACACTTTCTTTGACTGATAAATTCATGGCTATCTTAAAGCAACTCATAAAGAAAGTTGATTCATTTTTAAACTAGGGGAATAACTCAACTAGTCATTGGCTGGTATCAGTCTGCCGATCCACGTATTGTTGTACAGTCACTAAATAACCATAGCTGGTCCCCTTAAAGGCCTGTGAGCAAGACTCACCTGCTTTCTGAAGGTGACTCTCTATATAAATGCTCCTCATTTTAAAATAAAATAGGATAATCAGAATTCTATTATCATCATAATTCCATATGTTGTCTATTTTTTTTCAATATTCTTTTGTCTTCGTTTTCACACTTGTGTTGACCTTAAGGTTGTAAATTCCTTTTTGGCAAGGTCCATGGTTGGGTTTTCTTCTTGAAAACAATATCGTTTTAGAATAAAAGAGTGAAAAACAGAGGAGGGTAGGGAATGGGGCGGGGAGCAAGCTTATTCTAGGTTGGTGGGGTGGTGGGTTTTTGTCTTCTAAATTTTTCACAGAATACTCATTGAAAAAAATTATTTCTTTAATTACTTTTTCTCCCTTGTCTTTGACAGCATCTGCTGATTTATATAAAACATCTTATCAACTGGTAAGTGTCTAGGGGCGACAGTAATCATACATATAAGGAAGAAGTTACACTTGGAAGCTAAAAAGACAGGCATTTTAACAGAGGGTGGTTTTCTTGCTGGTGATGTTTTGAGGTAGAAGCCATTGCTGTCTGCTTCCTGGTATTCTTGTTATTGTGCCTTGTGACGTCATCATCTCACAACAGATGATACAATAGTGTATTATTTCAGTGGTATTCATAGCTCAATGCTGCAGAGAACAGGTGGTTGAGAAAATGCTGGAATTTCCTCTGACACATGAGTCAAACAGGAAACCACTCTGTCTTCAAGCTCTACTGAGGAAGTGCTAGAAGCACCATGGGAGATCCCCAGAAGTCCCTGACCGAGCAGCCCTGAGCCAGGATCAGCCGGGCTACTTTGCTCCAGGAATATGCAGCTTGCCACAAAGCAGAATGACTGGTAGCAGACACAGAGGAAATGGGCAGCAGCTGGCTTTGAGCTGAAACCCTGAACACGGTAGTGAAATGTTCTACGGTGCCTCTGGAAGGTAGAATGCAGACAAAATATGGAATGCAGACAAGCTTTTTCTTGACTCCTTTGGAAATAGAGACTTGGGGCAGAATCCTAGCAAGATAGCTCAGTGCATCCTTAAAGGATAACTGTGGCATGTTCTGGGCCTGGCTGATTGGGTTGTATCACACTTCTGACCTGTACGAGTTGTGTGGTTTATAATGCTTACTCAACCTCTCTGAGCCTCAGCTTCCTCATTTATGAAATAAATAATTGTGCCTAACACCAAGATGCTATAAAGATTAGCTGAGGCAATGTTTTATAAAGTGCATTATGTGCAAAGCATACAGTGTGTGGCATGGATCAGGCCCGAAAAAATATATAGCTATTATTAATTGTGTGTCTGTGTATATGCATTTTCTGTGTATTAAATTAGGTAGTTAAGTTTGGGGTACCTAGGACATCCCTTGACAAGGAAAGATGGGAAGCAGTGGTTTTAGACTTGTTAAATGTAATTAAAGTATGTGAAATATTTTATATGACAGGAGCCCCGTAATGACTCCAAATAACAGTGTACCATGACAAAGTCATCCTGTGTTCTGGGTTATTGGTTTTTTTTTTTTTTTTCAGACTCACTGGGGAATCAGTTAAGTAAAATAATATTCAAGTTACCATATGTCAAAGAAGGACAACCCCAGGTAGAGTTAAGCAAACAAGAAACGCCCCCGCCCCTAGCTGAGGAGTGATTGACAGGTGATGGCTTCTGGGGGAGGGGCAGTCAGTTCTTTTAAGGGCTTGAGCCTTAAAGGACAAGGGTAGGTCAACCGTGCAATGACCTCACACCCATGAGGATATGGGCAGCTCAAATTTGACTTCATGGGTCATAAAAAAGAAAGGAAAAGAAAAGGAAGGAAGAAAAAAGGAAGGAAGGGAAGAAAGAACTATAAAAAAAAGAGGACACGAAGTTGAAATGGGAAAAGGCACAGAGTCCGAAGGGAGCAGATTTGGAAGGAGTTAGGAAGAGGAGTGGAGTGACTATGATGGAAATACTTTGAATGCATTGATGAAATTCTTTAAAAAATGAATAAGATGATTGATTATATTGGGGGGGGGAGACTACTACAGTAGGAGTCAAGACTAGTGTGATAAAGGAGACCAAATTCAATTCCCTCTAAACAAAAGGCAAAAGTGTGTGTGTTTAAAATATTTTTTATTATTATTATTTTATTTTATTTTATTTTATTTTACGTTACTATTCAGTTCTACATAACAGCCACAGATTCCCTTGTTCTCCCCCTTCCTGCCCCCCTCCCCTTCCCCCCAGCCCACCCCTATTTCTTTTATTTTTAAAATCACAATATAATTCCATAATTGCCTCTTCCCTTTCCTCCTTCTAAACTCTCCCATCTATTTTTCCATGCTTTTCCTTCAATTCCTTCAAATTCCTTCCAATCCATGACCTCCTTTTTCATTATTGTTATATGTATATATACAAACATACTCCTAAATACAACCTGCTCCATCCATATGTTACTTGTATGTATGTCTTCAGGGCTGACCATTTGGTATTGGATAACCACGTGGTGTGCGCTTCCCTGGGTAAGACCGTTTCTCCCACTCTCGGCATTCCTGGTTACTTACAGTTCTTTGTGTAGGTTGGAGGCCTCGTGGGCTTTCCCCCATCCATGTCAGCATGTCTATTGTTGTCCTTGTTCAGCTCATATTCAGGCAAGAATGGTGAATGTTTGTGGGTGTAGCTTCTGAGGTTGCTAGGAGACACAATCTCACAGCAAACTCCCTGGTCCTCTCACAAACCATCTGCCCCTCTCCTGCCTTGTTCCCTGAGCCTTATGTGTGGGAAATTGTTTTGTAGCTGCATCCACTGGGACTGGGCTCCTCAACTCTGCATTTTAATTGGTGTTAGTTTTCAGTAATGGCCTCCCTCTGTTGCAAAGAAAAGTTTCCTTGATGAGGGGTGAGGGCTATAGTTGACTGTGGGTAGAAGGACAAATACTTAGAAAGTAGTTAGGGACTATGCTGATTTAGTGAAAACAACATGGAACATTTTGTGAATTTTCATGTCATCCTTGTGCCGGGGCCGTGATAAATCTTCTCTGGGTTGTTCCAATTTTAGTATACGTGCTGTCGAAGCCAACACTGTAAGGGAGTTTTTTAACACAAACGGTGAACTCCTGAGCATCTATGAAGGACACTGGAGAGAGAGGTTTGTCAAAGTAAAATGCTGGCCAGTTGGCACTCTGAAATTGGTCCTCACACGGATACCAAGAGACAGAGGCCCCATCTTTTTTCTTGATGATCACATTTCTAATGGAAGTCCCTCTGACCCTGAGGAAAGACATTCCTGGCTTATAATTGGTGTAAGGCCAGGAGAAGATTTATGTGTAAGGAGAAATTTTCTGAAAGACATGCTCTAAAAAGGGAGGTCAGGAGCCAGCAGTCAAAAAAGAAACCAAAATTTTAGATAAGCTAACAGATTCCAATACCACTGTAGAGCCGTGTCCGGACTGTCAAATACACCAGCCAGCTTTTCACTGCTGTAACAAAATACCCAAGATAATCAAGGAGAAAGGTTTATTTGACTCAGGGTTTCAATCTGCAATAGTTTAACCCTGTTGCTTTGGGTCTGTAGTGACGTAGTATGTGAGGGAGAATCACATGACGCAGGAAGCCTGTGGACCTAATGGTGGTCAGGAAAAGGTGGGAAGGGCCTAGTTCCCAGCAGCTCTCAAAGGGCACGCGCTAGTTGGTGTTAATTATCATCTGGACAGAGTCTCGAATCACCCAGAAGTCAAGTCCCTGGGTGTGCCTGTGAGGGACTGTCTGAATTTTTGATGACAATTCTTACTTGATTTAGACCCTTCATAACTGCAGCTGGCACCATTCCCTGGGCAGGTGGTTCTAAACTGTATAAAAATGGAGAGGTGCGCTGAGCAGCAGCAAGCATGCATTCAGTGCTCTCTGCTTTCTGTGGATACAAGCGAGCAGCCCTTTCAATCCCCTGCCGCTGGACCTCCCTGCCATGACGCTTTGGATTGTGAGCTCAAACAGACCCTTTCTCCCTTCAGGTGCTTTGTCAGGAGAAAAGAAGCCAAGACAGCACACAACCCAGGTGACCTCACTTCCTCCTCTTAAAGGCCAGAGCACCTCCCAGTCACCCCACAGGCTGGAGACCAACCACACCTTTAACACACCCGTGGGCCCATGGGGGAGGACATTTAGGCTTTGAACTACAGGTCTGTGCTAACGCATCAGTGAAGAGGCACTCATCTATGGCAAAAAAAAAAAGTCTCCTGCTCCACCGGGCATCACCTGTCCAAAACAAGCTTCTCACTCCTATTTCCCGTGGGACCATTATTTTGGGTGTTCACTTTAAAATCTCATTTTCAAATTTAAAAAAAAAAAAAAGCATGTTAAACCAAAGCAAGAAGATAGAGAGAAGTGTTTGCTTCCACTTACTTCTTTGCCTCAGCTGAATTCTAAAAGTTTAAAGAAAATGCAGGGCTGAGAAAGGGACTTAGCTACTGTGTCCCTCAAGGATCTTCCTACGTGATTTTTCTGGCTCAAAGCTCTTACAGGAGGAGGAGTCTCTCTGTCTCCAGATACCACCTTAGTTGCTTCTGCATTTCAGTTCCCCCCAAATAACGCAGTTATGCACCTAAGGCACAGTTAAATAAATTAAAATGGGGAACACAGCACAGTGGTGTGTAGGTAAAGGATAAATACATGTGAGCTGTTACCTCGCAGGGTGGTGGCCGGGGCGATAGGATGGCACAACCCTAATCATAGGGGAACTTTGGCACCGGCAGAGTACAAGAGCACCCTAGTTATAGCCACTCCATCGGCTGCTACGAAAGAGCCCAGCAGATTCCTGGGCAGGAAGACATGATCACTATGTTCTTTATAAAGAATAATATTTTTCTAGAGACAGACTTCCCCAAGAATATGGGTCTCTCCCTCTACTCTATCAAGCCCACCATAGACACATGTAAGATCTGAATATGGAAAGTTCCTGGCTCCACAGATCCTCTTCAGATGTTTCTTTTAGGAAACATATCAATTTAAAAGGGGGAGGGGGAGAAAGGAAGGAAGGAAGATGGAAAGAAAGAAAGAAAGAAAGAAAGAAAGAAAGAAAGAAAGAGAGAGAGAGAGAGAGAGAGAGAGAGAGAGAGAGAGAAAGAGAGAAAGAGAGAGACAGTCCTCTGGCCCTTGAAGGATGGTCTCTCTCAGCTCTTGTCATCGTCCTTGAAAGGGGCAAGCTTTTTAATTTCACCGCACTCAGACACAGCAGCCTCAACTGTTCTTCCTGGGAAAAGCCAACTTGTAAAACTCACTTTAGAACTGCTCATAACAGTATATACTTCGGTGCTTAGTTGACCCAGCAGGGTCAGGGGTAGGGGCTTTTAAAAGGGAAGAATGCCTTAAAGATGGTTTGTTTTTATGCCTGACCTAAATCTTTCACTTCCTCTCACAAGAGAAAAGCAGATGTTCAGTACAGGGGAGGGGAGAGAACGGGGGAGATGAAGGAAACAAAATATGTGTGGTCCAAGTTGGTCTTTAAAACATCAGCCGAATGCTCAGTCTCCTTCATGTTAGTGTTTAGAATTTCAGCACAGAACATTTTCTACCTCACCTGTGTATGAACTCCTCACACCCTCCCTACTTGTACTCTAGAGGGCCAAATAAAATAAAAAATTTAAAGCATGGTCAGTAATACAGAAGCCATTCTCTCAACAAATGATGTTGACTCCACTGGACACACACAAGGAATAAAGATTCAGCTAAATCCTTACCTTACACCATACACAAAAGTGAACTCAAAATGAATCAGTGCATTCACCTACATTTAAGAAGGGGGGAACTATAAAATTTTTTGGAGAAAATCTTTATGCTCTTTGGTTGAGCTAGAATTTTCAGTTAAAACACAATTCATAAACAAAAAAATGATGAGTTAGACTATCAAAATGTTAGTTTTACATTTTAAACAATACTGTTAAAAGAGAAAAAGGAAGAAGAAAGAAAGAGAGAGAGAGAGAGAGAGAGAGAGAGAGAGAGAGAGAGAGAGAGAGAGAGAGAGAGAGAGAGAGAGAAAGTCACAGACCTGGAGAAAGTACTAGCAAACCTGCTAATTCTCATCTGCTAAAAGAATTACATTTGGATTACACAAGGAACTCTTACGACAAAAGTAAAGAAGAGCCCGATTTTTATAACGTGCAAAGAATTTGGAAAAAAAAAAAAACACTAAGGGAGCTAAGTGAAGGGCCAGTAAATGCATGGAAAGATGCTTAGTAACACTTGTAACTACAGAAATTCAAACTTAAGCAAAAAAAGAGACCCTCTGAAGGACTATAATCCCCAGGACAGACGATGGCAAGTTTTAGCAAGGACATAAAGAACCAGGACTTTCACACAGTGTTGATGGGAATGTGAAACAGCACAGCTCCTTGGGGAAAATGGGTGGGTTTGTTTCTAATTATATAGAAATTAACAGTAAGATTCGGCAGTTCTAGTCCTATCTACTGAATAGAAATAGGGAGCTGGGGATATAGCCTGGTTAGTAGAGTGCTCGCCCAGCATCCTCAAGGCCCTGGATTCAATCCCAATAACCAGGTAAATCAGGTGTAGCGGCACATTCTTAAAATCCTAGAACTCCAGAGATGGAGGCAAGACCATCAGACTCTCAAGATCATTCTCAGGAGTTAGGGATTTAGCTTGGTGGTAGAATGCTTGCACTAGGTTTGGTCCTCAGCTCCAAGGAGGAAGCAAATTTATTTAAAAAAAAAAAAAAAAAAAAAAAAAAAAAAGCACAAGGCAACATGGTCATCCTCATAGCAAATTCAAAGCCAGCCTGGGTTGCATGACCCTGTATCAAAAAGACAAAAAACAATGTTGAGGAAATGGCCCAGTGGTTAAAAACCAGAACCACATAAAAATGTCAGGTGTGTGTGTGGTGGCCTGCCTGCATTTCAGCCTCAGAAAGAGAGACAAGGGGTTCTCAGAGCAAGCTGGCAAGCTGGCTACAGCCAGTCAGTGGTGGTGCATGCCTTTAATCCCAGCACTTAGGAAGCAGAGGCAGAAATCTCTGAGTTCAAGGCCAGCCTGGTCTACAGAGCAAGTTCCAGGACAGCTCGGAGCTATACAGGGAAACCCTGTCTTGAGAAACCAAAATTAATTCATTAATTAATTTTAAAAGTAAAATAAAAAATAAACAAGCAAGCTGGCTATAAAACTAGCTACACTAACTAGCTCTGGGAGACCCTGCCTCAATGAATAATTTCAAAGAATGGTGGAGGATGATTACTAACATCAATATCAGGCCTCCACACAGGTGTATGTACACCCACGTACAATCATGCATGAACACACATGCAAATATAGTTGTACACACATGAGTGTACACCACGGCCACTCAAAACTGGAAAAAAAATCATAGAAGAAGGATAAAGGGAGAGGTAAGATATATATCAACAGGAAGACTTGCATTCATAGAAACAATTGCTGATCATGTCTGAAACCTGAAACTCTCCAGCTGCCTGTCAAAGATGAACTGTAACCTAGTTATCCATGTGACAGAGTGTTAAATGGCTCTTGTCAGACATTGGGCTCAAAGAAATACACCAATCAAAAAAGCCTCCATACTAGATAAAATATCCCAAACTGGCAGATCTAGAGACAGAGCAGCCTGAGGATGACTGAGACCAAGAGAAGGGTTCTTTGGGGCACGGTGAAAATATCTTGAGAGGGAATTGTGATGATGGCAACCAAACTCTGTGAATTTACTAAAAAGCGTAGAATTGGACAGCATGTGTGGCTGGGTGTGTGGCACATAAATCATCCTTCAATAGCCTGAGATCCTAAAACGTGAATACGCTTCCGTGTCCAGTAGAGGTGTATAGCTCTCAATGAATGCCACACTGGACACTCAGTTATTACTCCTGATGAAAACCAGCCTTCCACGCAGGACCACATCTCTACCAACAAGAACAGCAGGTACCTTCCTGTAGGTCAAGATTCACAGCAGCTAACCCGGCCTGAAAAGACAGGCCTGTTATCTCAGCCCCTCGGGAAGATGAGGCAGGAGAATGGCAAAGTCAAAGCCTGCCTAGACATCTTAGCAAGACCCTGGCTCCGAACAAAAAGTTAAAGTCGGGGAGGGGCTGGGATACAGTTCAGTCTAGAGTGCTTGCCCTGGCTGCAATCCCTAGTACTGAAAGGGAGAACAGAGAGTGGGGGAGAAGGAAGGGAGGAGGGAGAGAGGGAGGGAGGTACCTAAAACTGCTGAAGCATATAACATACGTTAAAATTAAGGAAGTACCTGGACAATACTCACTGGCATTTGAACTTGGGATCAACCCCTAAGGAGCCACTGTTTCACACACACACCCCAAAAAAGTCTTTATAAGACCTGGCAATGCTTGTCAAAAT